TGTGCCCAAAATCCCAAGAGGAGAATGGAGGAGAAAGGATTGCAGCATGGCCATTTCCCCATGGAGTAATTTCTCACTTTCTAACTTTCCCTTTCTCTGTCTCTCCCTGGGAGAGCCTGTGTCCTATGGCAAAAAAAAAAAAAGGTTAGGTCAAGCCCTCTCAGATAGAAATCAGGAAAGGTCTACAAACTTAAAAGGAAAAAAAAAAATTAATCGTTTTTCTTTTTACCTTAAAATGAAGTTTGAATTGAACATTTCCTACCATTAGAATGTAAGCAAAACCCACAACAGCATTAGCAGTGCTTGTGACTTGGCACCAAAGGAAATTGTCGGTATTTTCCTGTCATGTTATTGTATTATCTAATGAATTAATAAAATTCCTACCTGACACATTAAAAAATATTTTGGTAGCTATGTCTTAATATAATCAGCTTCCTTTATAATCCTATGATTTTTCTAACCACATTTAAAAAGATTAGTCTGAGAAAGGATCCACCGATTCATCAGGTTGGTCCAAAAATTGTTCAGAGCCTCTGCAGAAGCTGAAGAGGAAAAACCTGGGTGCCAGGGAGCAAGGAGGCCAAATCAGCAGTTGGCACAGACATCTGGGGAGAAAGCCAAGGGTGAAGTGGGAGGGACCTCCGCTGCAGCTGAGGGTCTAGATTGAGACGTGTTTCCGAGGAGGGGCTTCAGAGGCATGCACTGGGGTGCCGGGTAGGCAGGTTTCTCGCTGCTACATCTGCTTCCTCTCTGAAGCTCATTTGTGAGCTGAGAACAGCCCACATCTTGTTTATCTGGGCCCCTGGCAGCCAGCGTGGTGCCTGGCGCAGAGCAGGCACCACAAATGTTCTTGATTTTTTATTATTTTTCCAAATGGGAATATGGCTTTATGGCGAATGTTTATTGAACTGAATTGTCATAGCTAACGAAGAGGAGACGAGGCCAGCTGAGGCTGCCGCGTGTGTGGGAGTCACAGATGAGAACAATCCCTCCTTTCTGCGCTGCACGTTTTCCAGGGTTCTTTTGTGTCTGCATCTTGTTGACCACACAGATAACGATAATACTGGGGACCCATCCCTTTTACTGAGTGCCAAGCAGGCGAGTACGTAGGTAGCTAATTTATTCACCTGCATTAGTTAAGGGACCCTCCCCCAACACCATGCCAGGTCCACTTCGCCCTACGCTGCCCTCCCTTACCCTGGTAAGCCATGCAGGTCTCGATGACATCCAGGGTGGGCTCATCCTCGCAGAGGTCGTATGGCATGTTCCCATCAGAGTTGACAGCAAGCAAGTCAGCCCCGCTGCAGAGAAAGGGCCAGGATGAGGGCCAGGAAGGTGTAGCTAGGGTTGGTCTGGCTGCCTGTGCCCTCTGGCCTCTCACCTACAGTCCCACTGCAGCCCCAGAGCTTACAACCCCACCAGGGTGTACGCCGGCATGGTGACGCCTGGCTCCACCCACCACTCTGCCCTGGAGCACAGCAGCTTGAGGATCCAGGGGCCCATGGTGGGAAAGGACCAAAGTTCCAGGAGAGCTCTCCCAGAAGAGCGAACTCTCCCTCAGTTTCCTAATCTGCTGAACTAGCAGGCAGGTACTTAGGGACAGATGCCAAAGTCCTTCCTGGTGACAATCACAAACATAATATCAACAGAGTAGCAGCAGCAGCAGCATCAGAAGCAGCAGCAGTACTCGCCAGGCACCGGCCTGGAACCAAGCCTGAACTCAGCCTTTACACACATCATCTTATGTAATCCTCCTCCTAACAGTCCTCTCGGGTTGGTACTGACGGCCCCATTTCAGGGGAAGCAAAGACTCAGATAGGCACCGACACTGTCCAAGATCACAAGTAGCTTGGATACATTCGGCTTAGGACTCAAATGTGGGTCTCTCCCATGTCAGCTCTTTTCACTGTCCACATTCTGTTTCAAGCTGCCTGAACGCAGAGACATCCTCTGTTATCTTCTTGGCATAACTGCCCTTTGAGCCAGTAGTCCCCGAGCCTGGCTCTGGGATGTCCTGCAGCAGAACCACCTGGGACCACTGAAATGAAATGGCTTTACTCTAGCCCTCCTAACAGAGTTCCTGGGGATGGGACTCAGGAATATGTGCTTTAAACCCATGCCCCAGGTGATTCTGGGAGAGAGAGCAGCACGATCCCCTCCACCAGATTGGGACCACTCCCTGTGTCCTCTGGACACTGTCACTAGTCAGGTCATGGCCACCTTGTGCTCCCAACAGACTTAGCCATGCCCAGGCTCTCATCAGAGGTGTAGACATGAGCTACCATCCAGTCCTTTGGCCTGACCTTCTGGAGACACTGCATGCTCTTGAGCAAGGGGCAACAGTACTGTCATCTCCATCACCCTCTTGAGAGCCACCCAATGGGCTCTCGATGCTCTGCCAAGACCTGCACCAAAGCTCACTCGCTCTCGGCCTCTCTTTCTGATTCCCTGCACTCGGATGCTCTGCTTGACCTCCAGGGACTCAGCCCACTGGTCTTGCTCTATCTCAGCTCTGGGACTGAAAGCACCTGATTTCCTGCCTGGCTCCCCAGGACTTCAGCATGCTTGTGTGCCCAGTGCCCAGTGCCCAGCACAGAGACTCGCCCAGCTCTGGCTCACACAAATTATCAGCAGGAGCCAACTGGAAAATACTTGAAATTAATGTGTGTTTATAGAATCCAAGAAGACTAGACATAATTTCAAAGTAGGAAAAGGCCCATGGAACAGTATAGGGAAACGGTCTTAGGGCCAGGTGGTGGCACAAGGGTAACGTATCTTGACCCACATGGGAAAGGCTGTGGGTTTTAGGGCAAGACCTCCCTGAGCATGGCATGCCTGTGATGCAGGCTGACTGAGAGGGTGGAGCAAGACAAAAAGACCCTGGCGAAGCTGCCTGTCTCTCCTCTCCTCCCTCTCTCTCAAAATAAATAAATAAACTTTTTTAAAAAAAGAAAAAAAGAAACAGCCTTATTTCTGGGAAAGACATTATTGAATGACCTCTTCATTTCTCCCACATAAAGCAAGGTCTATCCAAAAGGACATGTGGATAGGATTTGGGAGCAGGGACAAGGAAGTACACTTTCTTTTGTTGGTTTTTGCTTGTTTGTTTGTTTATAAATAACATGAGAAACACAAATGGCATCAACACATAGAGGAGAGAAATATAGACTCATGGGACCAGCAGTTGGCGTAATGGCTATGTCGCTAGACTCCCATGTAGTGAACCGTGGTTTGAGTCCCAGACCCAGTGGCTTAAACTCATGCCAGGCATGTGTGCGTGTGTGTCCAAGATCCCAAGAGGAGAATGGAGGAGAAGGGATTGCGGCATAGCTTCTGAGAGACAGAGAGACAGATGATTTCTGACACGTGATTTCTCACTTTCTGTCTGTCTGTCCTGATACCAAAGCCAGACAATAACACAAGAAAGTTATAGACCAATATCCCTTATGATCAACGATGCAAAACCCTCAACAAATACCAGAAAACCAAATTCATATTAAATGGGCCGAGTAAGAGTTATTCCTGAGATGCAAGGGTGGTTCAACATTAAAAAATCAGTCAGTATGGGACCAGCAGGTGGTGTGGTGGTTAAGGCGCTGGATGCTCCCACATGGCTGACCATGGTTCAAATCCTGGACATGGTGGCTTGCTTTCTCACCTTCTCTTTCTCTGGTTCTCACTGGTCAAATTTAAAATAAATGAATGAATAAAGTTAAATAAATAATTCCTTTTTTTTTTTTTAAAAAAATAAGTCAGTATAATATACCACAATAACAGAAATTAAGGGAGAAAAGGCACATGAGTATTTTAAGTGAAGCAGAAAAAGCATTTGACAAAATTCAAATCTCTTTCATGATTAAATAAATAAATAAATAAACAAATAAATAAATAAATAAATAAAACAAACCTCCACAAATTAGAAGCAGAAGGAAACTTCCTCGACATAACAAAAGTCACTTATGAAAAACCCATAGAAACCATGAGACTCGATGGGGGAAAAACTAAAGCTTTTCTTTTTCTAAGATTGTGAACAAGACAAAAATACCTGCTTTGCCACTTCTATTCAACATGGTACTAAAAGTTCTAGCCAGTGCAATTAGGCAAGAAGATGAAATAAAAGCTACCCAGACTGGAAAGGAAAAAGTAAAATGATCTCTATTCACCGATGATATGATCTCAGATGTAGAAAACACAAAAATTAAAATAAAAAACAAAACCTGTCAGAACTAATGAATGACTTAAGCAAAGCAGCAGGATACAAAATCAACACACAGGGCTGGCAGGCAGTATCGTGGTTAGGGAACCGGACTCCCTCATGGCGACTGCAGTTGAAGTCCTGGACCTGCTGCTTGCTGTCTTGCTTCCCCTCGCTCTCTCTCCCTATAACTCTCTCTGGTGAGTCCACATGCCCTATAACAAATTAAGTAATAATACTACTAATAATGAATAAATTTCTCTTTTTAAAAATCTGGAATATAAAACGTTATAGTCACTATGAAAAACAGAACAAAGTTTCCTTAAAAATTAAAAATAGAATTACCACATGACCCAGTGACTCCACTTCTGGACATATACCCAAAAGAATTAAAAGCAGGGTCTCAAAGAGATGTTTGTACACCCATATTCATAGCAGCATTATTCACAGTAGCTAAAACATGGACCCAACCCAAATGTCCATCAATGGATTAATGGGTAAGCAAAATGTGGTCTACACATACAATGGCATGTTATTAAGGCTGAAAAAAGAAGGACATTCTGGCCCAGTGTGGGGTGATGCTGCTACTCACAGGACGGGGCCACATGGGTGCATGCACCTGCAGTCCCAGCTACTTGGGAGGCTGATACAGGAGGTTCAAGATATTGAGAGACCCTGTCCAAAAAAAAAAGTAAGGAAATTCTGGCATGTGCTACAACATGGATGAACCTTGAAAACATTATGCTAAGTGAAATGCACCAGTTTCAAAAAGAAAAAATCCTGTATGATTCCACTTACATGAAGTACCTAGAGTAGTCAAATGCATGGAGATAGAAAGTAGAATGGTGGTTGCCATGAGCTGGGGTGGGGAGGGGAATAGGGAGTTAGTTTTTAATGGACACAGATGCTGGAAATGAATGGTAGTGATGACCACACAGCAATATGAAGGTACTTGATACTACTCAACTGCACACTTAAAAATGGCTAAGATGGAAATTTAAAAATATATTAATTTTATTTATTAATTATTATTATTATTATTGCTCTTTAACTTGACCAGAGAGAGAGAAAGGGAAAGTGAGAAAGCAAGCCACCAGGTCCAGGACTCGAACCATAGTCAGCTACGTCAAAGTCCAGCACCTTAACCCACCACACCACCTGATGATAAATTTTATATGTATTTCACCACATTTTTTAAAATGGGGGAGGCAGAAAATGAAGAGGGAGAGACAGAGTGAAGAGAGACAGAGTGGAAAAGACAGAGAGAGATCAAGAGTAAAAGAGAGACAGAGATTGAGTGAAAAAGGTAAAGATATTTAGACAGAGAAAAGGATAATCTGAAAGAAGAGGAGGAAAGCAGTAGAAACAGAGACAGAAATGGAGAAAGGATGCGGGGAGAAAGAAAATGATAAGTGCCAAGTAAGACAGAGAAAGAGTGACAAAGCAGAGAAAAAGGAAAGAGGGAGATGAAAGAAAGAGGTTAAAGGAAGGGAGGAGAAGGGAAGGACGGGGAGAGGGAATGAGCAAACGAGTGAACTGGGGAAAAAACAGAGGAGAGAGGAGACTTTGGTGGGGCGGGGCACGTACTACTGAACGAGGATCTTCACCAGGTTGATGTGGCCGCAGGTGGCTGCAGCATGCAGGGGTGTCCACAGCTCGTTGTCCTTGGCGTTGACGTTCGCACCGTGGGAAAGGAGCAGCTTGACAATCTCCTCAAAGTTGTCGATGCAGCACTGGGAGGGACACACGGACAAAGTCAGCTCCAGGCAGGGCCCCGGGCCCTGGTGGGACGTGCCATGTCCCCACAAGAAGCCATGAGAAGGTTAGTGCTTGGAGCCAGACTGCCTGAGTTCAAATTCGGCTCCATTACTTACACACAAGAATTATCGCCCATAACCTTGGTAAGCCACTTAACCTCTGAGCTTCAGTTTCCTTGTGAGTAAAAATAAAGTTAAAATATAGAAGATAAAAAATATATTAAGTGAGGCTGGCAGGTGGCCTGGTGGTTGAGGGTGCTGGACTTCCACATGGCTGACCGTGGTTTGAGTCCCGGACCTGGTAGCTTGCTTTCTCACTTTCCCTTATTTTTCCTTTCTGTCTCTCAAATTAAAATAAATAAATAATGATGATAATAAGCACAGTTAGATAAAAATAATTTAAAAAATATGTGTGTTTATACACACACACACATATATATGTGTGTGTATGTATGTGTCTGTCTCTCAAATTAAAATAAATAAATAATGATGATAATAAGCACAGTTAGATAAAAATAATTAAAAAAAATACGTGTGTTTATACACACACACATATATATATGTGTGTGTATGTATGTGTGTGTATGTAAGTGTGTGTGTGTATGTATATTAAGGGGGGCCAGCAGGAGGTGCAAGTGATTAAGGTACTGGACTCCCATATGGCTGATCACTGTTCTAGTCCCAGACCTGTTGGCTTGAAACTCATGCTGTGCGTGTATGTGTGTGTGCCCAAAAATCCCAAGAGGAGAACGGAGGAGAAGGGATTGCATGTGGCCATTCCCCTTGCAGGTGGTTTCTTTCTCTCTGTCTCTGGCAAGCACACACACTCTATAGACAAAATAAATAAATAAATGAAATTATATATATATATATGAGTGAAAACCACTTTGTCAGCTATAAAGGGCTTTTCAACTGTTGGTACAATGTGACAACATTTCTTTAAAGGTTTTTGTCATAGGGTGTGTATGTTTGCCAGAGAGAAACAGAGAGACAGTGAGAGAGAGTGTGAAATTACCTCCCAGGGGGGATAGCCATGCCAAAATTCCTTCTTTTCCATTCTCTTCTCAGAACTTCAGGCATGCACACACACGCACCTGGCATGATTTTCGAGCCACCATGTCTGGGACCTGAACCATGGTTGGTCATGTGGAGGTCTAGCAACTTAACTACCACACCACCTGTCAGCCCCATAATGGGACATGTTGAAAGTTTTAACTTTTTTAAACTCCAGAAGGTTTTCCCCAAACATTGTATGGAGAACTCTAACTTAGATATCCAGAAACTCCAAGCAGGACTTGGACTGATGCAGGGCTGGAGGTGAGGGGTGTGCCCTTCCCAGCAGAGGTCTCCAGGTGTGGCCCTAGAATGTAGTTTAAGATCTCTGACTTACGACTTCTCACAACCCAGGAACTCAGATCTTGCAGAAGCCTCAAGTAACAAGACGCCTTCCAAATTCCCAGCCCCAGGGAGGGTTCTGGGGTTCCTGACATAGGCCCTGGGAGGGGACAGCCACGTTTGGGCTCTTCCCTTTCCAGGGCAATGTCCACATGTGGGTCAGCCTGGAGAGGGAAGGGGGAGTGTCAGGAGGCTGCAGCCCCCAGAGAGAACACAGAGACATTGGAGCCCAGAGACTCCAGGAATAGGGAGGGAATGAAGGGCCCTAAGGGGACAAAGGGATCCCAAGCCAGGGCCATGAGGAGGAAATGGTGAGGACAGAGAAGGAAGCTGCAGGATGGTGACTTCCAAAAGGGACAGCAGAGGGCAGAGCAGGTCCTGTGTCGCACCCAGCCCCCAGGCCCTGGCTTGGTCCTCAGTGCGATGCACGCCTGAGTGAAGAGCTCGGTGGCAATGGCCCAGTTAAGAGAGGATGGTGGCTGGCCTACAGAGTGACTGTAGGGGTGAGGAGTGACCTGATGGCCCCGGTGGGTGTGAGCGTGGGTGCCTGCAGGATGGGTGGCACGCATCCTTCCCCCCATCTCCAGAGAGCCAGGGTTCAGCCACAGACCCGTGGGGAAGGAGCAGCTGCTTACTCAGATACTGCCTGAGACTGAGGGTCTCTGTGCGCCAGCCTTTCTGAGGTGGCTGGGTCAGAAGGCATCTCTCCAGACTCCTCAGGTGTGACTCCGGACAACAATACAACAGCACCGTGGGGCCAGCAGAGGGCGCCAAAGGCGCGATTTCTAAAAAGCGGAGGCCTTGAGAACCCTCTTAGAGGCTGTCAGTAAGAAATGGGTCTGGAGAGGCCCTGGGTCAGGGGACAGGAGTGGCAAACATCCTCTCCAAGAGACTGAAGGAAACGAGGGGTTACATGGAAGCATCAGGTCAAAGAGGCAGGAAAGGTGCACCCAGAATTTCAGTCGAAATTTTAGTCTTTTTTTTTTTTTTTTTTTTTAGGGTGTGTGCACTCTCCAGAGAGAGATGGCGAGAAACAGTAAGAGAGGCAAAGTGAGAAATCACCCCCAGGAGTGAGTGAGGAGAGGTGGCCATGCAATCAATCCCTTCTCCATTCTCCTCTTGGGATTTTGGGCATGCACGTACACATACCCAGTGTGATTTTCAAGCCACTGAGTCCAGGACTTCAACCAGGGTTGGCCATGTGGGAATCCAGCACCTCCATGCCACCTGCTGGCTCTCAATTTCAGTCTTTTACGGGGATGCTGCAGGTGGCGTCGGCTTGCACCTGGGAGACCTGGCCTGAGCCAGGGCAGGGCTGGGGGCTGGGCTGTGTCCACGGCTGCACGTCCCGGGGGGAGGTAGTGGTGAAGTGGGCAGCCTCCTCCTCTGCGTTCATCAGGGTGGGGAATGGCACCTGAGAGTCCTCCGCCTCTTCACTTCCCTGGGATCTACTGCCAGCTGTGAAGTCCATCTCCTAAACCGCTATCTCCACTGCCTAGGCTGAAGCTTTGTCACCTCTCCCTGCATTCCTGTTGATCCCCTGCCCACACCCTCAACCAGAAAGGGCTTCCTCATTAGTCAGTTAGGCTCCCAGTTTCTGAACCTCTGAAGGCTCCCTGTTGCCAAAAGAAGAAAAGCCACACCCCTTTGCCAGGTCTGTGACACCCGTCCTAATGTGCCCCAGTCTCCTCTGCTGCATCAGGAGCGGTCAGGACAGTAACAATGATAACAACAGCCCTGTGGGGCAGGAGGGGATGCCGAGAAGATCCAGGGAAGGAGCTGCACCGCTGAGGTTCATGGGAAGTACACAGCCAGTCTGTCCATCCCTTCCCTGAAGGGACCCTGTCCAGCCAGGGTTCCAGCCACCTGGCCTCCCACCATCCAGGGTACACTCAAGTCCATCTGCTCAGAAACTTGGGCCAGGGCACAGGGAGGCCTTGGTGTGTGTGCACCTCATGAATTCAGCACATCCGGGCACCTACTATCTGCCAGCATGGAGAAAGATGGGGACACACCAGCAAGCAAGAGGGCCAGCAGTGCCTCCATGCAGTTCGGAGTCTGGGTGGGAGGAGAGGCCAGTAGAGATGACCACTCTAATGGCTACGATGACAAATTACAAAGGACAGGGGTGCTCAGAAAAAGGACATGTGGTTGCAGCATGGCCCACAGCTGCCCGCATGAACTGGAGCCAAAAGGTGTACGCGCGCCGAGCACCACAGAAGTACAGTGTGCAGGAGCACGCATGTCCCAGGAACGGAAAGCTGGTGGTGGAGCCCGGAGAGCCAGGGCAGCGAAGGCAGGGCAGGGCCTTGTGTGGTGTGGCCAAGGTTCCTCGCGTAGGGGAAGCCACCAGAGAGCTTTAGTACCATGAGTGGATTTTTGGCTTGAGCATCCCTGTGGCTACTGCATGGAGAATCAAGGCAGAGAGAATCATGGCGGAGACACGGATACTGGGGACAGGGGAGGAGCTATGCACGTCCACTTTACAGGTGACAGCCAGAGTAGCCCACCGCAGGCAGGAAAAGGATACGTGTTCTCACAGCACAAAGCTCATGGCCAGTTACAATCGTGTGACCTCAGGCAGGTCACATCACCCCATCAATGGCCTTTGTCGCCAGGGCGAGGGGACGTCCTGGTGCATGTGAGTGTGCTTCAGAGACAGTCAGGCTCCAGATGAACTTGCTTCACTGGGCAGTGAGGATGCAATGAACAAAGACTTGCTGTCTTCCAAGCCTGCCCGTGCACGTGCACGTGCGCGTGTGGGTGTGTCTAACAGACGCTTTGTGTCTCCAAAGTAGACAAGAAACTTTCAAGTGGGCCAGCTGCCATTCCCCCTCCATCTCTCTTCCCTTAGGGTTCCAGGCAAGAAAGTGCAGAGGAAAGGGGCACCGCTCCAGGAAGCAGCAGGGAACTGGGGAACCCCAGCAAGCTGGCCTTACCTGGTGCAGGGCTGTGAGTCCATCCTCGTTGCACAAATCAGGGCTGACCTTATTCTTCAGGAAGTAGCGTACTGCAATAGGAAGGGACAAGGGTGAGCATCCCATCGCACACGGCATGTGCAGGCATGTGGGGGCCCAGGGAAGCCCCACTCTGCCCAGGTCCTGGCACTCCTGATAACGGCCCTACGATGTCAACTTTAACACCTGCCCCACTTTACGGACGAGGAAACTGAGGCACAGAACATAGGTCTTCCATCAGTGATTCCCAAGAGGCAGGCATTGCCTGCCGTATCGCAGAAAACAGGAAGAACTGATGACTACGGAGCTCGTTGCTTACGTAGCTAAGCAATCCACCTTCGCAGTCCAGAGGAAGCAGCCTAGCACTGCAAGCACGTACTTTCCATGCTAGCTTCACTGAAAGCTTTTACTCTGGAGTCCCATAGCCTGGGTTCAAAACTGGACCTCATTCTTACTGGCTTTTGCAACCTTTATCAAAACATGTCCTGGGGGACCAGCAGATGGCATAATGGTTACATCACCGGACTTCCACACGGTCAACCACAATTCGAGTCCTGGACCTGGTGACTTGAAACTCATGCCGGGTGTGTGTGTGTGTGTGTGTGTGTGTGTGTGTGTGTGCATGCCCAAAATCCCAAGAGGAGAATGGAGAAGGGATTGCGGTGTGGCCATTCTCCCTAGGGGAAGAGATTTCTTGCTTTCTGTCTCTCTATCTCTCTCTGTCTCTCTGGCAAACGCACCCGCCCTATAGCAAAAAATCTCTAAAAAAAACGCCTCATTTTTCTCATCTGTAAAATGGAATCACTGCGGTGAGCCATGTCAGGGGCTACACGCATGGCTGATGCGCAGTCTGAAATGAACTCTGGTCACACAGATGCACTTATTTTTATTAACACTGAGACCCCTGTGCCAGGTGATGACCCACCTAGGAGTATCAAAGGCTCCTGCTCTGTCCCTGCTGAGCCTCGGGGAGGGGACTGCAGTGACTATAACCATTCCCCAGCCCTAGCCGTGTGAGAGCGTATGCATGGGTGAGTACAGAGCTGGGGGTGAGGGAGACCGGTGAACTTCAATGATAGCCCAGCATTCCACTGGTTTTGGGTAACCCCTCCCCTTACCATTGTGACCCTCTTTCCTTCTCTTTTCTCTCCCCCATTAAGGCCCTAGTTCTCACCTCAAACCCAAGTACAAAGAGAAAGAAGAGCCAGACCCCAGCCCTGAGGGCTTTTGCCCAGCCACCACAACTGCGACCCCTGCCTCAGAAGGCCCATCTCTGGCCAGCCTATGGCTCTGACTCTCCCCGGGAGTGAGGCTTTCATGGGCCACCAGAAAGAGTGCACTGGTGTCCATGGTTTCCCTCTGGTCACCAGAGAAATGGCTCTGAGCCTGCTTGCCTGGCCTAAACAGGCCCCTTCCCCAAATCCTGCTCCTGAAGGATAGACCATGCAGCTAATGGGCAAGTGATCCTCTAGGCCAGAGGAGTGGCCAAGTGGTGGCTGTTTGCTGGGCAAGTAGATAAATGTGGACACACCAGCTGACCTGTGTGTGAGACCCTTGAATCATGATGAAGCCATGGTGGAGACCCAGGCCCTGTCAATAGGAGAAGCAAGTGGCCCAGGCCCCTTTGAGCCTCCCTCACCTAGTCTGGCTCCCTCAGAAGCACAAGCCAAAATCTACCTCCCCTGATACCGCTGTGGACGCTATCTCTCCACTATGGGCCATGCAGAGGGGCGGTTGATTTCCTCACTGATTTGCCTCTGCTATGGGGGAATGAACTCAAAGCAAACCATTGACAGTCAAGGAGAAAGTCATCTGTCCTTCAGGATGAAATAGCCAGTCAGCAACCCCAGGAGTGCCAGGTCTCAAGATGCTGATGGGCAAAGAGGGGTTATCCATGAGATCTCAGGAGCAGTGGGGAGGGGAGAACCCCTCAACTCCATCCTCTCAGCTCCCAGACCAGAGTCTCAGAGTGAACAGAGGACCCAGGTTAAGGAGAGATTGAGCTGCCATTCGGCAAGATGTGACCTCTCCAGCAGACCTGCCCAATGCTATCGAGGTAAGTTAGGTGTGACCGGACTCTGTCCAGTACGGGTCAAATCTGCTGGAGCTGTGCCATCCACCGGCTACAGCTGGCTATTGTAGTTATTCACATTTAAATTAACAGCCATTCAAAAATGCAGTTTCTAGGAGCCAGCAGGTGGCCTAGTGGATAGGGATGCTGGACTCCCACATGGCTGACCCCGGTTCGAGTCCCAGACCTGATGACTTGCTTTCTCACTTTCCCTTTCTCTTTCTTTGTCTCTGTCAAACTAAAAAAATAATAATGACAAATGAAATTAAGTAACTATTCTTTTACAAACAACACAAAAAAATGCAACTTCTCAGTCACTCTGGCCACACGTGCCTACCACATTGAAAAGTGCAGTAACGGAACATTTCCATCCTCTTAGAAGGTTCTATTGAACAGCACTGCTCTGGGCCATTTTAAAGGAGAATCAGTCCCACCATGAACTACTAATACCCTTCAGTGACTCGCCACTGGGGAGAAAGTTCGAAACTCTTCCTGTGGCAAACAGGGCTTTGCACGATGGGAGCGCTGACGACAGGCAGCCCACTTTGCACAACTCCAGGAGGTGCCTCGTGCACTGTGGTTATGAGACTGGCGCCCCTGGTGCTGCCTGGTGCACCCCTTGCTCAGCCGCACAGAGCGACCCTACCTGCCTACCTCTCCGGTTCATTTCTTTTTATCTTTTTGTTTTTTTTGTTTTTTTTTTGAGAGGTTTTCGCTATAGGGCGTATGCACTCGCCAGACAGACAGACAGACAGAGACAGAAAGCGAGAAATCACCCCCCCCAGGGGGGATGGTCACGCCGCAATCCCTTCTCCTCCATTCTCCTCTCAGGATCTTGGGCACGCATGCACATGCACCCGGCGTGAGTTTTAAGCCACCGGGTCTGGGATGCGAACCACGGTCGACTACATGGGAGTCCAGCGACATAGCCATTACGCTAACTGCTGGTTCCCTCCAGTTCATTTCTTAAACTCTATGCCTTCCATAACAGTCTCCTGTCGGCTATAGAGTCACCACACTTCCTCTGACCTCTGAGCTCGTGCTAGCCTGTGCTCACGGCCTGGAAGGCTCAGTCGTCCATCTCTCCATCCATCTCTAATACACACATGCACATGCAGACACGCACACACCTGCTTAGCCTTCTCACAACCACAATTCCATAGACAGTGGGAGTACTTGCAGGCTTCTGTCTGCCTGTCTGTTCACTAGGCACTAAGCCCCAGGAGGGCAGGACTGTGGCCTGGTCCTGACCACTCTGTCCCTAAGGATTGCATGTGCTAAGTCTTCAAGAACTCTTTCAGGACCCTGACCTAATTGGAGCCCCCAGCTCAGTCCAAAGATGCAGGCTCTCCATCTCTGAGCAAAACCGACCTCCCTCGAGTGCTGACCCGGGAAGACTAATGCCTGTAGTGAGCAGCTCTGTCCACAAGTCCCTCCCACGAAGCTGTGGGTACAGCCCAAGGGCTGTGTAAGGAGACTATGGCAAAGTCACTGATCACTGAGGCCTGTCCAAGGGCTAGTGGGAGCCCGGAGCCTGGCAGATGGCCTTTGGGAAGAGTATAAGCAGCCACTGTGTCCCAGTCCAGGAAGGGTTCGGAGAGGGTCTGCTTACATGAGGCCAGGGCTCGAATCCCATGGGGTGGGTGGTGGACTAGGCTTTCTGCCCAGGAGACTCTCTTCAAGGCAGAAATAAGCATGGGCTGCCAGAAGCAGGGTGTGCGCACAGTAATTACTGGGGTGCTCGCCTTGCTGCGCGGAAACCCACGCCATGTAATTACCCTGATGTCAGGCAGTTATTTTCAGTCCGAAAGGAGGGACCAATCATCCCCATCTCTCAGAAGTCCTTAATATTCATGAGTCTAGGCCCCTCGGCAGTTATGCTTCTGCTCTGGCTGGGAGTCTGGCTGTGGACCCAGCCCAGGGAGCAAAGTCCGGGCTGCACAGTGCGCAACCTGGCTAGTCTGCCTTTGGGGAAATGACTCTCCTCAAAATTTTTATTTACTTAGTAGAGGTTTTTGCCGTAGGGCACATGTGTTCACCAAGAAGAGAGAGAGAGAGACAATGAGAGGGAAAGTGAGATTCTCCCCTGCCTACCAGGAGATGGCCATGCTGCAATCCCTTCTCTATTCTCTTCCTGGGATCTTGGGCATGTATGCACATGTGCCCAGCATGAGTTTCAAGGCACTGGGTCCAGGACTCATACCATGGTCAGCCATGTGGGAGTCCAGTGATATAACTGCTAAGCCATCTGCTGGCCCCAAGAAAAATGACTCTTACATCAATAATGTCTCCTGGGACCAGCAGATTGCATAGCAGATTGCGTATCTCCCACATGACTGACCGCAGTTCAAGTCCTGGATCCAGTGGCTTCAAAATCATGCCAGGTACATGTGCATGTGTGCCCAAGATCCCGGGAAGAGGATGGAGAAGAAGGGATTGCAGTATGGCCTTCCCCCCACACGAGGGGAGTGTTTCCTCACTTTCCCACTCACTGTCTCTGTCTCTCTTTGTCTCCCGGGCAAGTGCACATGCCCTAAGGCAAAAATCTATGAAAAACAAATAATGAAATAAAACAGTGTCTTCTTCCTGAGCCTTTTCCTGTACACCCAGGTCAATACAGTACCACTTTCTTTTTTTTATGCTAGAGGGCACATGCGTTTGCCAGAGAGAGAGAGAACCGGGAATGATCACACCACACTGCCTTCTCTCTCTCGCTCTCTTCTTGGGATTTTGTGCATGCTTGTTTCTCAATCTCCCAGGTCTGAGACTTGAACCAGGCAGTCAACCATGTGAGATCCGACTGCCTTAACCACAGTCTGGCCCACAGAACCACTTTCTTTCATCATGATCATGTCTATGATTATTCCCCTTATGCTGAAGAGGAACAGAGAGTCATATATGGCAGCAGCCTGTTTGTGTAAATAAAGTTTTAGTGGAACACATCCACACTCATTCATTTACACATTGCCTATGACCGCTTCA